CTTCACAAAGGGGAACGTTTCCAGAGATATCACATGCGCAAGCACTTCTAGGAGCTCTGGTAAGTGTTCTCCAAAAATTTCAGTTCATAAAATTAATTAGGAGATTTTATATTAATTTTTAAAGTGAACAGTGCACAAGTTAGGGTAGTAGGTTTAAAAACGCCGGTCCCAGGGTGATTTAAACGTTTAAACCACCGGTCCGCAATGTGTTAAGGTACAGAGATATTGGGTTTTCGGACTTTATCCATCGTCCTGATTTTACGATAACTAAGAAAAACACGTTTCGGAAACTGGTCCAGTGATTGAGGCTAGCTCTTTCTAAGGGACCCAACAGAATAGGTGTTTTCCTTCACCTGAGGACGGAAACAGATCCAGTTTCCGAAACGTGTTTTTCTTAGGTATCTTAAAACCAGGACGATGGATAAAGTCCGAAAACCCAATATCTCTGTATGTTATACACCATCGTCAGAATCCTATAGTAACTACTCTTTAAGGTCTTCAAGTAAGTTATGGTATGTATTGGGGATGGAGTGTTTTGTATTTTGTGAGCTTGTGTTTGTGTCTGGCTTCCTTAAAGCTGACAGAGGAGGGGTTGGAAATGTAGAGTCCCACTCACAGTTGTAACATTTGCTTTTCAGGAGGACAGGCAGAGGAACAAGTGCATCGTCATGGCCTGAAGGAGAGAACAGGACAGCAGTTAACATGGGCTTTCAGACAGTGGAAGTTCTACATGGACAAGGTAACATTTCATGCTTAAATATATGAGATTTAATAACTTGTAGTGTAGAAGTTTGAAGCACTGTGCTACAAGTCCCAAGATCACAGATTCAATTCCCAATGAGGTCATTAGATTTTTCAGTTGACCTAATCTTCAGCTGCACTATGGCCCTGAGGTTAACTGTGCCTCTAACAGAAATGAGTAGCATGAATCTTCTTGGGGGGTAGATGGTGGCTGGTAAGGCTGACAACCTTGCCACAATCTATCAGCTGATTGGACAGAAAATGTGGGATCCTTGATGTTTCAAAACCGTATGGGTCCCTGTGGCCTCTTACAGGGGCAGTTTTACCTATTGGCATTAAATTGAAACCATGATCATGAGACTGTAATGAATAAAAAGAGTATTCAGGCATCTTATAGTGAATCTTATTAACTGTAAACAGTCATGAAGTTTCTAAAATTATAGCCGTATAAGGCTTTGTTTCCTAGATGCAGTAACATATTCACACTGAGTTGCACGGCCCTCGAGTCATTTACAGTTGTAAAAGGTAAAGGTAAAGTTGTCCCTGTGCTCAATGAATTAAGCACTATGCCATGAAGGCGTATGGGGGAGTGGATGTATAGATCCACATTTTCTTGCCTCAGCACTAGCTGGAGGTGAGTGGTCAGCTTCACACACCTGCCGCTTTACCCCTGGGGAGAGCCCCCAGTGCCCATTGGATACCAGGTTGGGTGAACCCCCAGAGCCAGTCTGGGTGATTTGGAGAAGATAAATTTTTTTACCCTACCAGGACTTGAAAACAGTCGTCCAGCGCGTACCCAGTCACAATACCAACTACGCTATTCCAGCTCCTCATTTATAGTTGTAGCAAAATGAAATATTTTCAAAATTAATTTTTGGAATAGTAGTGCAGAAGCAGAGTGGCAAAATAGGAATTAGAAAGGTATTTTGTTGTGAAAGTAAAACGCGCGCAAATGCTCCTGGGCCCAGTTATATCCTCTCCAGTGCGAAGCCATTATTGTTTGTCCTCCTGTTCTCCCCAACCTGCAAACAAAAGAAACAAATTAGCATAATATACTCTCCACATTTCAGAGCAACTTATTCCCTCCATACTCAGAAACTTGTATAATGAGTTCCTCAGAATTAGCACACATTTCTGATGGACAGAATAAGTTGCTCTGAAACGTCAAAATAACACATTGCAACAATGCTAAAGAGAATATACAGCAGAAAGGTTCCCTGTTGAGCATGTTTCATCTCCATGCATTCATGTGATAACTGAAACTTCTACTGAAAGTTTTTAAAAATGTAAGATTTGAGGTTTCCACGGCAGTGACTATGAAGAAAGCAGTCTTCTGGGATATGGTGTCATGTAGATATCATGTTAACTGACGTTTCGGAGGAACGTATCGCATCCATCTTCAGGGCAGAAGAAAATCCGCAAGCAGAGAACCAGCATGAGCAAGCAATAATAGTACTTGCTCATGCTAGTTCTCCGCTTGCGGATTTTCTTCTGCCCTGAAGATGGAGGCGATACGATCCTCCGAAACATTGGTTAACACAATATCTACATGGCGCCATATCCCAGAAGACTGCTTTCTTCTTTTTAAAAATGCTTCTTTGCATCTATCCTGTACATCCCCCACTTTACATAAAAAATCAAGAAAATTTTGCAAAAATTGCTTAATGCATATCAGACAGGCTACTGTAATGTGATTAACTTTCACCCCCATCAACAAATATCATACCACCGACACACTAATCTGCATACACCAGTCCACTCCCATATGTAAACTGCTCAGCAACCGACCAGAAATGAAAACTATTACACTGTATTACTACCTCACATCTGAATTTAGAAGCGAACTACTAATTCCACTGAGACATGTGGTATTTGTCAGCATTAAGATTATCATTGCCCGAAAGGTGGAATTTCTTTACTGTACTATAAGCACACACCACATCTGTTCCTTATGAAAGAAAGTGTTTCCAGAAAAATTAATTTATTAAATTACATAGAGGATGTTCTTATAAAACTGTACACACAATTTGCACTTATTCAACCACCACATAACTAACTCGTGGTGCAGGTCCTCCTTCAGCAATAAAAAAGAATCCCTTACTACATAACCTATAGGTTCAACATCCTGAATACAGCCTACAGTTGCATGTGATCCTTATGCAATTCACAAATCAATTTTAATATTAGGTGCAGGGGGTCTCATATTTTTAACATACAAGATTTTGTACATATTCCCATTTTCCACTTGCATGGTGTGTGTCCCACCAATCTAAGTAAAAAGAAAAGTAAAGCTATCCCTGTACCAGGCCGTGAGATGTTGAGGGTCCCACATTATCTAAACAATCGGCTCAAAGATGGCGGTAAGGTTGTCAGCCTTATGCACCGGCCACACTTCACTCCCCAGGAAAATTATTTAATTAATTCCTGGTAATCCCACCAATCTAATCCTGATTAAATCATCAGCAAACATCTCTTTATGGTGCTGTGTCAACTGAAGAGAGGATGATCAGCTAGTGGAATCAGTCATGGCCCATATGAAGAACTCAGAAAACAGTTCATAATGGGGCCGAGACATAAACTAGCACCCTCCTAAATACAAACCCTAGAGCTTTACCATTACACTAACCTGTCCATAGCATAAATAGTAAAACTCATCCTTTAATTTTTACTTAAACTGCCTTAGTTCTATGATTTCAGAATGGAGCATCAGCTGAAGAAACTGGCTGTAATCCCACAGGTTCAACACTACTAATAAGATTACAATTAATATGTTGCTGGACATTATCCATCATCTTGTCTGTTCTTAAAAAACCATCTAGTTTCTATTAAAAACACAACGTTTTGGGACCTGGAATCTGTCCCCGTCTTCTACTAATACTACTACTAATAAACTAATAAACTAAAACTACTAATAAGAGCCCACCACTGGCCACGATTCAGAGCCGATTCACACCATCACCAGTTTCCCTGAGATACTTTTCCATATGACCCTCTAACCTCTTACTAAGTCTCTGCACCCCATCTGACCTCCATGCCCAATCCATCCTAATGATTCTTGGCATCACATGTGAACCACACAGTTCCTCACTGTGTAATGTCATCCCTCAGGGCGCATCTGACAACTGGTGAGATTATTGTTTTATCTTCATAATGTGTGTATATTAACAGTCTTCAAGTGCATTTACAATCCCATTCACCAATTCTACACTACATGTTTCGACAGTATGCTGCCATCTTCAGGTGTATCGACCCGTCAACCATTTCACTGCTTGCCTTTATATGTCCATTTACAAATAATATTAATTTGAAGAAAGCAGTCTTCTGGGATTTGGCACCGTGTATATGTGGTGTTAACTGACGTTTCGAAGGAACGTATCGCCTCCATCTTCAGGGTAGAAGAAAAAATATAAGAAATCTGCAAGCGAAGAGACCGTGAGAACTGGTAAAAGCAGACTGGTGTTGGAAATATACACAGCTATGTGAGAGCAGAGAAGGACAGGGGAAAGGGCAAGTATACAAGTGAAAACAGTAGTGGGGGGGAAGGAGCTGGGACAAGCATGGTTTTTGTGTTGGGGGAGAGAAAGGCAAGGTTAAAGGCTGGGCACTAACCCGTAAGCTGAGG